GCCTACCATGAAAGAGGTAAAAGAGGAGCTTGAGGCATTGAGAAACTCCAAAATCAACCATGGATCAGAATTAGACCATATATATAAGAAATGAAGCCCTAGTTAGTGAACTATTCAACTACACACAAGCAATACGTTTAGTCTAAAAAACCCAACGTATAGAAGGTTGATGGTGGGCTAATAAATGGTCTTGTGGATTGCAGTAAGACACCAATACGCATACTTATCCTGAAAGAGAGAAATTTATGTACTGTTTTCTTTATTGTAATCTTGTATTGATTTCTTCACAATCCCATACAATGAACTGTGTATCCATAAATGACTAAGATCATACAAACATGAAAGAATCCCCGAAGTGATAGTTTCAGCTCCAAATTGTAAGACATTTTGATTTGCCCCAGCTTACTCAGAATGAGAAGTCCAATAAATCAGTCCACTGCAAAGAACAATATTTTTGTTATTGGAGAGAATGACACCGGAGGACATATTTTTGTCCATCTCTTTCTGGTTGTGCTCGAGAATACTACATCATACAGTCATGAATGATGTGAGAACGTTTTCGAATATGCAGTGTGGTTACACATACGTGTGTGTGTGTGTGAGAGAGAGAGAGAGAGAGGACCATTAATACCAATGCAACAGAAAAAAGATCTTGGCAATTAGAATGACATCTTCAGGCAAATCACATCAAGTGCATGTAGCTTATGCAATCACATGCAGTTTATTTCACATAGTACAGAAAGATTGTCATACCAAACTCTATGTCCTAGCTCGATCAGTTGGTACGACATAACATTTTTAGTATAATTTCTAGCATAATTATCAGGAGAAGTAGAATAGGGACAGCTTTTATATCGTTCCCATTTAATCAATACAAACAAGTGCACAAACATTCAATAATGTTAACTGAAAAAACGGAACACAGGAAACAATCTTAAAGCTTAATAAAAAAGGCAATTACCTGATCAACACTAACACACTGCAAAACACCTGCAGTTGCTGTTGACGCTGAAGGGCCAGTTTTCACAATTGAATCTTGAATTAATAAACCTACTGAAGCCACTAGCGAGACAAAAGAAACAACATAAGCGAGGAAAAGCCAGAGCTTCAACCTGCAATTTCGGAAATTTGAAAAAATAATGAGGATTACTTCGGTTGATGCGTTATAGTTATGCAAACTAATTCACAATGTAAGAGTAACCTATGATGGCAAAAATCAACTAAGAAGTACTTTTGCCAGCAACGTTAAAGATTATGAGAGTGTGTGAAAGAAAAGAAGAAGAATAAGAAAACTACTTAGGAGAAGATGATGAAATTAAGGTATAGTGTCAATAGTGATGAGGCTGTCTGTGGTGATTATAATTAAGATTTGTTGGTACTTTGTATTAGTGAGTGAGAATTGCTATTAGACTTTTTATCATATGGTTGAAATTTATACATGTACTGTGCAGTTCTTTTGAACTCTACATAATGCGCGTGGCCTTTTGTTAAGATGTCCTCTCCTTAACCTTGTATTTTTTCAAATATCTACATTGTTTTGTTTGTTTGTTTGTTGGTAAATTTTATTTTATTTTATTATTTTATATTTTTTTTCAAAATCAATTTTTGCGAACTGTTATACCAGACACTCTGTTTCTTAAATTTTGTTAGTTTTTTTTTATTGGATTTGAGGAGTTGTTCAAACTTCAAAGACAAATATGAGATACATTTGTAGGTGCTGTTCTCATGTTTATTACAGTTCTTGATGGCATTTAAAATCATATAATCTTTTGGTCCTGTGAAAACTCATTGTGCTTAAACCTTTGATTTCTTCTTCAAGTGTCTTCACTTTCTCAACCAACTTTTGGAGAACCTCACAAGTCAAATTAATTGGTTGAATCCAACGCTTGAATTCAATTTGAAATTGATAAAGATGATAAAGGAATCCAAATGGATGCATTGGGTTCCTTCAAAGTCCAACCTCTATAGTTATGGTGATTTCTTTTACCCATATAAATAGTTATGGATTTTTGAAGTTCAAAAACAATGTCATTATTTTTGTTGGGATCGATAATAATAATAATAAAAAATTGTAAAAACGTATTCTCATCTTCTATAAATATTTGACACCATACTATTCTATTTCCAGATTTTGTCAAAGATTAGTAGGGCATGAAGTACTCATGTGCCCTAATCTTTGTACATTTTGAGGTTTGAAACTCGGTTGCAAGAGAGAAACTGATTTGTTTAGCTTTTGTATTGAATCCGACTACACTGTAGTGGTATAGATTCTTATGCATTTTTTAGTTTGTCCTCTAATTACAATGTGATTTTCTATTTGTTAGTGTGAAATGTTGGACTTATTTATTTATTTATTTAATTTACCATTTTACTATATTCATAAAATTCACATTTGTCTTTATTTTCCATTTATGTAGATGGAAGGGCGAAAATGGGAAGAGCTAAACATGGATTGCTTAGTTAATGTGTTTGGGAGATTGAGAATGGATTACCTGCTATTTGATGTTCCATTGGTATGCAAGTCATGGTACAATGCTACCCTTAGTCCAGTATGCTGGCAGCACCTTAATTTTCGTGAAATCTGTTATATTTATCCTAAATTACTTGACGAATATCGTCCGTGGAACGTTGATGAGAACGGGTGGAGTAAGTTTGTCATAAATCATATTGATTCTTCGGCAATGTGGACTGAGTTGATTAAGTTTGTCATCAATCGTAGTTGTGGTGTTGCTGTTTCACTAGGTATTTCTTGCTATTGTACAACAGAGGCATTATCTTATGCTGCAGAAGGGTAAGATACTGAAATTTCATTAAGACAATAAAATTGAAATGAAAATTAACGTTAGATAATAATTATGATCAAAATTTTAGAGTTAACATTATTTAATTTTATTATTTTTAATTTTTTTCAGGTGTCCTTCCTTGAAATATTTGACTCTGGATAATCTCAACTGGGATGAAATGTCAACCATACCCAGTCTTATAAGCAAGTGGAAAAATTTAGAGATGTTGAGGCTTGAAAGCTGCAATAATATGGAAGCAGTCCTTACCCAAGTCAGCCTTCATTGCAAGAATTTTGTTGATTTAAGGATTTCTGAAAAATTTATGGTGGAAGCTGAAGAATTGGATATAGTCATCTTATTGAAGGACATAAAGTATTTGGACCTGAGGGAGACATCGCTCCAAAGGGAAAATCTTGTGAGCATTTTGAAGTGTTGCAAAAAACTTGTGCGTTTTGATGTTAGTTACTGCAAGGATTTGGAGGTTGATGATGAGATATTGAATCTTGCTTCTCATATTCCTACTTTTATATACGAGGGTACAGGTGTGCTGAAAGAGAGCCCCCATGATTCTGATTCTGATGACGATGATTATGATGGTATCTCCGATGGTTACTTCTCTGATGATCCGTTTGGATAGTGTAAACATAATAATATTAGATTATATAATAGCCGTTGTATCGTGATTATTGTCATAATTAGTGTATAGCCGTTGATCACAAGTCTCACTTTGTACATGATTCATACATACTTCAATATATAATGATTAGGCAAAAGTGCAAAAAAATCCTAAACTATTACTACGATTGCAAATACCCCACTAAACTATCAAACGTTATCGAACCCTACACTATAAAAAAAAGTTACAAAAAGGACCCTCCCGGTCACCGGACCACATTTTCCAGCGACCAGAGGGTCAAAATACCAAAATACCTCTACTTATTAATTTATATAAAAATTGTAAATATCATAAATCTACAATACCCATAATACCCTTTAGGGACATTATTATTATTATGGGGGAGTGATAGTTCAGGGTTTTTTTTTGTACTTTTGCCTAATAATAATAAACCATATATAAATAATAATAATAATAATAATATTAATAATAACTAAATAATAAAAATAAAAATAATAATATTATTAGTTATTATTAATAATAATAGTAGTAGTAGTAATAATAATAATAATAATAATAATAATAATAATAATAAGTAATTTATTTTTTTTAGTTTATTAATACTACTGCTTAGTTGTAAGGTATGTGAATCACTTTTAGTTCCGGTGAATTAAAAATAAAAATAATAATTTAACAATAAGAATAATAATAACTAATGTTGATATCTTTCCAAAGCTTGTCCACAAAAGTAATTTTGTTATATTATCTTTTAGATTGATAGGGAATTCTTTCATATTCTAACACCACATAGTTCCAGTGGCTTCTTCTATGAATAGAGAGTTGAATGGTTATGATTCGAGGTTAAACAGTCTGTTCATAACAAAATCTGGACGTGTGGAAAAGGTAACATAGCTTCATCTCCCCCCACCCAAAATCAAAATGTCTCCTCAAGTAGCAAAGTTGCGCCTGAGATAAATTTGAGTCTTGAATTAAAAGTGAACAGTTTGATTTCTTACTGGACAAATTTCTACCAGTTATAAAGAAAATTTACCAGTTCATTTTACCTTGTACATAAATGAATTTATAACTTCCCTAGTTCGTATTTTTTCATTCCATTTTTGGTTCTGAACACCACCATCTAGACTCAAGGTATGTTCAAACCTAACTATGGAAAATTAGGCACTGAAACCTAAGCAAATTTTGTGCTCATTTCTCCATGCAATGCTCTAACATCGACACGCCTCTGCTTCATCGAAGCAAATTTTGTGGTTTCTGGTCATGTTTTGCAAACTATTCGCATAAAAAGGTTGACTTCTGCTTCTTGATAACACTGTGTTAAGAGCACTGCAATTGTTACAATATTTTTGTACATGACAAAACGATCGATAATTTTTAATGACAAGACAAACAAAATGAGGTAGTTTATTCCTAAATGGAAGAATTTCTATAGTTGGCAAAATGATTCTACGTAATATAATATATATATAATATATATATATATATATATATATGTATATACATATATACATATATATGTATACAAATAAACCATAAAGGTCTCATTGTTTCTGCAATCATCCTAGACATGTAACAGAGAAGCCATGGACTTGCACGCAATGCTTCTGAGGCTTATGGTGAAAAGCGTGATACTAGTAGTAATAATAGCTAGAGTTGCTACCGCACAAGGCATGCCTGGCTGCAAAGATAGATGCGGGAATCTTAAAATTCCATATCCGTTTGGGATGAGCCAAGGCTGCTACCTAAACGAGTCATTTCTGATCACATGTACCAAATCCAAAACGTATCTGAACGGTAATTTATCTGTCCTGAACATAGCACTCGAGGGTCAACTGCGAATTTTGTCCCCTATTGCCACTGTTTGCCGCGGCTTGCAGGCTAATTACACCACCAGGGATCAACAACTTTCAACTAGTTTTCCCCTCTCAAGTACAAGAAACAAGTTCATTGCCGTAGGCTATAATACTACAGGAGCCATCCGTGTCTTTCCGGGGAAAACTTACACAGCCGCGAGTTGCAAGTCTTTTTTTAACATGACGTATAAATTAATCAATGGATCTTGCTCAGTCATGGGCTGTTGCCAGACTTTCATTCCCAAAGGATTACGGGACTTCAAGATAGTGGTAGAGAAATATTTTAGCTATGCGGATGTATTCAAATTCAGGTCGTGCAGCCACGCCTTGTGGTCGAACAAGAGTATTATGACTTCTCGTCGCTAGATCTTTATAGCAACTTAACCGACCTCAATCCATTCCCTATGGTGCTAGATTGGGCAGTCGGTGAGACAAAATGTGAACAAGCTAAAAAGAACAAGACAGGTTATCTATGTCAGGAGAATAGCGAGCGCTATGACTGGGATGGTGGGGCAGGATATCACTGCAGATGCTCTAAAGGTTACCAGGGGAACCCATACCTCCCAAACGGTTGCAAAGGTACTTATTTTGTATATCGTTCTTCTGGGATATGGAGTTTTTGCACAAATATATATATATTTTACATTTTTTAAATTAATTGGTTTCAGATGTCAATGAGTGAGACGACGATCAAGGCCACAATGATTGCACACACATCTGTAGGAACACTGCTGAGAGATATGTTTGTCTTTGTCCTAAGGGTTACCATGGAGATGAAAGGGTGGACAAGGTTGCTTGCAAACTAAGGCCACTGTGGATAAGTAAAGATAAAACTGTTTTGTGAACCTCGTAGAAAGTAGTCTCTAAAATAATAAAGAAACATCTTGATAACACTCCGCGAACCATTTAGTTATAAACTTGAATGCACTTGATACAGTGCCTCTGTTAAAAGTAAAACATGCAATTTTAAGAACCAAACACATGCTTCATTTTTTCTATCTTCTCCAATCAATAATATTCGTCAATTATAAGCAAAACTACTTGAGATTAATATTTCGCCTCACTTAAATATAGGTATGAGCATGAGCCTTGTGTTTATGTTTGTCATCATCTGTGTCTTATATTGGGAAGTCCGCAAAAAGAAGATAATGAAGTGCAGAGAAACTTTTTTTAAGCAGAACGGTGGTATAATGTTACAACAACTGCTTTCCAACTGCAAAAGGAAAGGTTCTGCTCAAGGAGCCAAGATTTTTACGGAAGAGGAGCTCAAGAGAGCAACAAACAACTTCGGTGATGGCAATGTTATTGGCCAAGGAGGTTATGGCACAGTTTATGCAGGAACTCTAAAAGTTGATATGATCATCGCCATCAAAAAGTCCAAGGTGGTAGACCGAGGCCAAATTGAGCAATTCGTTAATGAGGTAGTTATTCTCTCCCAAATCAAGCATCCAAATGTGGTGAACCTCTTGGGTTGTTGTCTAGAAACACCAGTTCCCCTACCTCTTCCACCATACATATACATGATGAAGGTCGTGTATCCTCAACGCCATGGGAACTGCGTTTGAGAATAGCAGCAGAAACTGCTGGAGCACTTGCGCATATGCATTCTTATCCAATAAATATAATTCATAGAGATGTCAAGTCTGCCAACATTCTATTGGATGATCATTGCACTGCAAAAGTATCCGACTTTGGAGTTTCAAGATTGGTTCCTTTAGATCAAACTCAGCTACCCACATTGGTGCAAGGAACATTTGGTTACTTAGATCCCGAGTACTTTTATTCAGGCTTATTAACCAAGAAAAGCGACGTCTATAGCTTTGGAGTTGTCCTTGTAGAGCTACTAACCGGGAAGAATGTGTTCTCTCTGGATAGACCTGACAAGGACAGGGGTCTAGCTATGTATTTCGTTTCTTCGCTCAAAGAAGGTCACTTGCTTCAAATCCTAGAGGATCGAGTGAAGAAAGAGGGACATGCTAAGCAGCTAAAAGGAGTAGCTGAGGTAGCAAAACAATGCTTACGATTGAAGGGACGAAAAAGGCCTACAATGAAAGAGGTAAAAGAGGAGCTTGAGGCATTGAGAAACTCCAAAATCAACCACGGATCAGAATTAGACCATATATATAAGAAATGAAGCCCTAGTTGGTGAACCATTCAACTACACACAAGCAATACGTTCAGTCTAAAGAACCCAACGTATAGAAGGTTGATGGTGGGCTAATAATTGGTCTTGTGGATTGCAGTAAGACACCAATATGCATACTTATCCTGAAAGAGAGAAATTTACTGTTTTCTTTATTGTAATCTTGTATTGATTGCTTCACAAATCCATACAATGAGCTGTGTAACCATAAATGACTAAGATCATACATACATGAAAGAATCACTGAAGTGATAGTTTCAGCTCCAAATTGTAAGACATTTTTATTTGTCCCGGCTTACTCAGAATGAGAAGTCCAATAAATCAGTCCACTGCAAAGAACAATATTTTTGTTATTGGAGAGAATGACACTGGAGGACATATTTTTGTCCATCTCTTTCTGGTTGTGCTCGAGAATACTACATCATACAGTCATGAATGATGTAAGAACGTTTTCGAATATGCACTGCGGTTTCACACACGTGTGTGTGTGTATGTGTGTGTGTGTGTGTGAGAGAGAGAGGGCCATTTAGACCAATGTAACAGAAAAAAGACCGTGGCAATTAGAATGACATGCTCAGGCAAATCACATCAAGTGCATTTAGCTTATGCAATCACATGCAGTTAATTTCACACTAGTACAGAAAGATTGTCATACCAAATTCTATGTCCTAGCTCGATCAGTTGGTACGACATAATATTTTTTGTATAATTTCTAACATAATTATAAGGAGAAGTATAAGAAGAGTTTCAAATACTTTGATATAATGAGAAATGTATCATGTCTAGTTTCCAAAGTTCAAATCCATGTGACATAAATCTCAATTTTTTCATGTAAAGTTTAATCTTATAAGTTAGAAACACAGAATATTTGATGGACACACGCTAATGTAAGGTTTAATCTCAATTGTAAGGTTCAAATACTTTGCTATTCAACTAATGATTAACACAGGCTCACAACAAAAGGTGATGGCTTGGTCAGGCAGTTCTTTCCCTTGTGTTATCTTATTTTATCCTTTTCTCAACAGGAGACATATTGAAGATGTCTCTAATTAGTGCATGATGTATACATGATGGGGACAGCTTTTCTATGTTTTAAATCAATACAAACAAGTCCACAAACATTCAATAATGTTAACCGGAAAAACGGAACACAGGAGGCAATCTTAAAGCTTAAAAAAGGCAATTACCTGATCAACACGAGCACACACTGCAAAACACCTGCAGTTCCTGTCCACGCTGCAGGGCCAGTGTTCACAATTGAATCTTGAGTTAATAAACACCCTAACAATGCAACATTAGTAATAAAGATCGGGAAGTTGCAGGTTGAAGATTGAGTCAATTGTGAAAACTGGCCCTTCAGCGTGGCTTATAAAGATTCAATCGTTAGGATCAACAGAATTAATCCTCATCATTTAATTTAATTTAATTTAATTTTTTTTTGGTAAAAAACAATAATAGTATTTAAGAAGCTAGGCTTCCCACGATTGTTTGATTTGAGCCATTAATGCAACTATAATGAGAGTACCAATTGTTACATTGCACCTTCAGACAAGAGAGAGAAATTAGCTTACTTGTATCTTTAGAGCCTTCTGATTAGAAAATGGTCATCAGTGTGTCTTCCTTGAAGAGCAAGTGGTCTTGGTCTGCCCAACCTTCATACTTGGAACAAAGCTGCAATCATGAAACACAAATGGAATTCTTTTGAATGCTAAAGATGGTATGCTCCGGATAACTTGGATCAAATATCTATCTATTGAAAGGAAGAAGCATTTATCAAGGGCCTTGTGGTCCAGCAATATTTCATCTATCTCCCAAAGTAGACAATGACAATTGGAAAAAAAAAAAAAAAAGAAAGAAAGAAAGAAAAAAAAAAAAGTAGGTGTGTAAGTGGTCTAGGTGAGTTTCTTGCCAATGACACAAAAAAAAAAAAAAAAAAAAAAAAAAAAAAAAAAAAAAAAGAAGAAGAAGAAGAAAGAGAGAGAGAGAGAGAGAAAAAAAAAGCAGCATTTGGGAGGTCAACATCCCTAATCAACTCTCCACTGCTCTTTTTAGAATTCCCCTAACCTATGTCCCATGTGTAACTTAGCCACCTTCTCTTCCAATGCTCCTTTCACGCACCCATTTGGGCATTTATACAAGCGCCTTGTGGTTTCCATGTTCTCCCAACTCATGGAATGAACTGGTAGCCTGGGGCATCACACCATTGGAAGGGTAAATCGAGGGATTACAGAGCACCCACATCTTGTCTGACACTTGCACTTGAAATTTCGAGAAAGAGAAATTATATTCTAAAATTCATTGATGAGTATTACATCCAATTTATAGAACAGGATTAGCTAAAATAGGTAACAAATTACCTACCAATCAGCCCTAAATCAAGGAGTAAATAATTCAATCAAATCCTAAAGCTGTACTATAAAATCTCAACACTCCCCCTCAAGTTGGTGCATAGATGTCACACATGCCCAACTTGTCTAAATTTTTTGAAAACACTTGATTTGAGACTGCTTTGGTGAGAATGTCGGCTAGTTGATCCTCAAATCGAATCTTAGGCAACTCCACAATTTTTCCATCCAACTTCTCCTTAATAAAGAATCTGTCTATTTCGACATGTTTCGTACGATCATGTTGAACTGGATTATGGGTAATATCACATGCTGCTTTATTGTCACAATATAGTCAAATAGGTTGCCCAGGTAGATAACTCAAATCCTGCAAGAGAAGTCTTAACCACAATGTTTCACAAAGTGCAAGCGCCATACCTCTGAATTCAGCTTCTGCACTCGAGCGAGTAACAACATTTTGTTTCTTGCTTCTCCATGTAACAAGATTACCTCCTACAAAAGTAAAGTAACCAGAATTAGATCGCCTATCATCTATAGCTCCAGCCCAGTCAGCATCAGTATATGCATCTATGTTTTGATAACCAGCATTTTTAGTGAACAAAATTCTTTTTCCAGGAGCAGATTTCAAATACCTCAAAATACGCATAACTACATTCATATGTTGCTCTCCAGGATCATGCATAAACTGACTAACAATGCTCAATGCATAAACCAGATCCGGTCTCGTATGTGCTAAATACATCAACTCCCTACAAGTCTTTGGTATCTTCCTTTATTAGTAGGCATTTGGTTGGACTCAACACATAACTTCAGTCCTTTTTCCACTGGTGTCTCAGCTGGTTGACATGCTATCATGCCAGTCTCTTGTAATAGATCTAAGACATATTTTCTTTGAGATAGAAAGATTCCTTTATTAGATCGAGATACTTCGATCCCAAGAAAATATCTCAAAGGACCTAGATCTTTCATTTCGAATTCTCTGGACAAGTACTTCTTGAGAGCCTTCATTTCTTCAGGATCATTCCCTGTAACCACCATGTCATCTACATATACAATGAGTGCAGTGATCTTACCCTGTTGTTTCTTCAGAAATAATGTGTGGTCTGAATTGCTCTGACGGTAGCCAAAGGTTATCATAGACTTTGTGAATCTTCTAAACCATGCTCTTGGAGATTGTTTCAACCCATATAATAATTTCTTTAACCTGCAGACCTTTCGACTAAACTTTTCGGGTATCATGCATCCTGGTGGGAGATCCATGTAGACTTCTTCAGATAATTCACCATGCAGAAATGCATTCTTCACATTGAATTGTTGCAATGGCCAATCCAAGTTCGCAGCTAAAGACAACAAGACTTGAACTGCGTTGATTTTGGCTACAGGTGCGAACGTCTCTGTGTAATCAATTCCATAGGTTTGGGTGTAACCTTTTGCCACCAATCTTCCTTTAAAGTGTTCAACTGAGCCATCAACTTTATACTTCACAGTGTAAATCCATCGACATCCAACTGGTTTATTTCCTGGTGGAGGATCAATGAGTTCCCAAGTTTCATTTTTCTGTAAGGATTTCATTTCCTCGTTCATAGCTGCTTTCCACTGTGGGTCAACTAAGGCTTCCTGCACACTGTTAGGAATAGATATAGTAGATAATTGATTTACAAATGACAAATTTGATTCTGACAAACGATGATTTGACACATAATTACTCATGAGATACTTAACTTTACTAGAAAGTTCGGGTTCATATGTGGGTTTAGGAATACCTCTAGTGTGACGCGGTGGTAATTGTTTTCTAAGTGGCTCAAGCACTAAATCAGGAACATCCTCAGCATAAGCAGGCGATTGGTTTAATATGTCAGTTAGGAGGGACTCGAATTCGGATGACGATGAGGTTGGCGCCATACTTTCCATTTCTAGGCGTTCATCACCACTTTAATCCAAACTTATACCACTTGAATCTAATTCGCCCGATTCCTGATTGGTTGGTCCAACTTGTGAGTCATCAACACTAGAATCGCCGTCCTCAAAAGTGTGATAATCATAATCTAGAGTCTAAATTTCGTTTTGGTACTCCCCCTGAAGTTCAGACACAGAGGAAAAATACATCGAATCTTCATGAAAGACAACATCCATTGTGATAAACATTCGTCAAGTTGGAGGGTGATAACAGCAATACCCCTTTTGATGAGTAGCATATCCGAGAAAAACACATCGCAATGCTCGAGGAGTTAGCTTGTGGCGTTGATGCTTATGGAGGTGTACAAATGCTGCACAACCAAAGACAAGAGGAGGTAGATTTGGGACGGTTGGGGCAACAACTGCGTCAGTGAGAGCTTGCAGTGGTGTTCGGAAGTCAATAGAGCTGGAAGGTACTTGATTGATTAGATATGCGGCAGAGGTAAGTGCTTTTCCCCAATACGATAATGGCATATGCGCTTCTATCAACGAAGCACGAACAACCTCCAACAAGTGGTGATTTTTCGCTCTGCAACCCCATTTTGCTGGGGTGTATTGGAATAAGTGGTTTGATGAATAGTTCCATGTACTTCCAAATACTACTGAAGGTCAAAACTCTGATATTTTCCATCATTGTCACTACGGAGAACCTGAACATGTGCATTGTATTGAGTTGCAACGATTTTATGA